AGGGCGACACCTCCATGCTACGTGTGTGGAGATCCATGGTGCAGTATTGCTTGACAACGTCAACCATCGGCAAATTCAAGAGCCGCGCGTGCTGGGGAATCCACCTTGGCATCAGTCACGAGTACAAAGCGTGGCTCATCCTGGACCTCATGAGCCAGAAGATCAAGAACGCGCGCGACGTCATCTTCTACGAGCGGCTCTTCCTCCAGCAGTTCCGTGAAGACGAGCAGGCGAACGCGAATCGCGTCTATGCCAATGACGGGCACAGCTACGCCACGCTGGAGGATGAAGCTGCAGCAGCCATTCTGGAGCAAGACACCAGAGGCGAGTTCACGAGAGGTGATCGACGCGACAACGATGACGATGACTCATCCGCAGGAGGAGCGGGCGCAACAGGAGGAAGTGGAAGCGGCGGAGGCACAGCACCGTCAGCACCACCTGAACCAGAGAGCGACGACGATGACGTGTAGGAAGTCATCCTGCAGCATCGCCACGACAGCACCGTTACTGGAATGCAGCTTCTCAGGCTCCACACCGCTACCTCAACGGCGCCATGCATCATCGAGCCGAAGAACCCGCGCCAAGCCCCACAGCAAGGAGTGGCACGAGGCGATGAATGCAGAGATCAGGGCACTCGAATCACGTGACACCTGGGTGCTCGTCGTGTCAGAATGTTATTGTATACATCACTTTATAACTGCCTGCAATGTAGACTCAGTGTAGTTATCTTGCTTGTTAGGTGGTGCACCTTTCTTCTCTTCTTTCATATTTGTACCCTTGAGCCTATAGTGAAATCATCCTTTTCTCCTTTGCAACTCTCTCGACATTCTCCTTGAGAACTCTCGAACTTAACTACTAGGCTACTAAAGCTATGGCTCCTAAGCCTACCTACACTTAGCTTCTTTCACATGGAATCAGAGCTGTTACGCTCTTGGCCTGTGGGCCCCACGTGCTTCCGCTGCTTTCCTGTCTGTCGCGCGCCCCGTGGCGCGCGACGCTTTTTTCTTCCTGCCACGCGCTCGGGACGCGTGGCGGTTTTCTGCACGCCGTGCGCCCCGGGCGCGCGGCGTCTTCCTGCCCCGCGTGCGGCCTGCTCTCACGCCGCCTGTGCGCCTGCCCCACGTCTGCGCGCGGGCTTGTTCTGCCCGCCCGTACCCTCGCGGCCCCTTCGTGGCCCCTTCGCGGACCCGTCGCCGCCCCTTCTCGGCCCCTCGAGGCCCCTTCTCGGCCCCGTCGCCGCTCCTAGCGGCCCCGTTGCCGCCCCTAGCGGCCCCGGCGCCGCCCTTCTCGGCCCCGTCGCCGCCCTTCGTGGCCCCGTCACCTGCTCGTCGCGGCGCACCCCCCCCTGGCCGCCGCCTCTGCCTCCCCTGCGCCCGCGCCTGCTTTGCAGCAGCGCGCAGGCCTGCCTTGCAACAGCAGCCGCCCCTGGAGCAGCCGCCACTACAGCAGCCGCCCCTGGAGCAGCCGCCACTGCAGCAGCCGCCCCTGGAGCCGCCGCCCCTGAAGCAGCCGCCCCTGCAGCAGCCGCCCCAGCAGCAGCCGCCCCTGGAGCAGCCGCCACAGCAGCAGCCGCCCCTGGAGCAGCCGCCACTACAGCAGCCGCCCCTGGAGCAGCCGCCACTGCAGCAGCCGCCCCTGGAGCCGCCGCCCCTGAAGCAGCCGCCCCTGGAGCAGCCGCCACTGCAGCAGCCGCCCCTGGAGCAGCTACCCCTGCAGCAGCCGCCCCTGGAGCAGCCGCCCCTGCAGCAGCCGCCCCTGGCCACTGGAGCAGCCGCCACTGCAGGAACCGCCCCTGGCCCCTGGAGCAGCCGCCCCTGGAGCAGCCGCCCCTGGAGCAGCCGCCACTGCAGCAGCCGCTCCTGGACCCTGTGCAGCCGTGGGGGGTGGGTATGGGGGTGGCGGGTGTGGGGGTGATGAGTGTGGGTGCTACCCTTCCCGTCCTCCTCCTCCTACTTTGTCTCCCACTGCTGCAGCTGCCGCTGAAGGGGGGTGGATGTGTGGGAGCCGAGGGGGAGTGAAACTAGGGGTGCGGCAAGGGGTGCGGCAAGGGGTGTGAAAGGGGAGTGGGACAGGTGGGGGAGGTTGAGTGGAGGTGGCCGTCGTGAAGTCAGCAGCTCCAGTCGCCCGTGAGACCGTTGCGCCAGTCGCCCGTGAGCCCGTCGCTCCAGTCGCCCGTGAGCCCGTTGCTCCAGTCGCCCGTGAGTCAGTTACTCCTGCCGCTCGTCTAGCCGCGGAGTCAGTTACTCTAGTTGCCTGTGTGCCAGTTGCTCCAGTTGCCAGTGTGCCAGTTGCTCCAGTTGCCCGTGTGCCAGTTGCTCCAGTTGCGCAGTGTGCCAGCAGCTTCAGCTGCCGCCCACCACCTCCTCTCCTCTCATAGTCCCTCCTCCTCCTCACTTGCCCTCTTCGTCTGCTGCGCTCTGCTTGGTGTACCCCTTCCGAGGGTGTTTCTGCACATGGTTCTTCACTGCAGGCAGTTAGGGGGTGTGTCAGAATGTTATTGTATACATCACTTTATAACTGCCTGCAATGTAGACTTAGTGTAGTTATCTTGCTTGTTAGGTGGTGCACCTTTCTTCTCTTCTTTCATATTTGTACCCTTGAGCCTATAGTGAAACCATCCTTTTCTCCTTTGCAACTCTCTCGACATTCTCCTTGAGCACTCTCGAACTTAACTACTAGGCTACTAAAGCTATGGCTCCTAAGCCTACCTACACTTAGCTTCTTTCACACGTCGATCAAGCAGTAGTCAAAGGAAGGAGGATCATGTCCGGGAAATGGGTTTTCCGCGTGAAAACCGCAGCTGACGGCACGATCGAGCGATTCAAGGCGCGTTGGGTCGTACGTGGTTACGCTTAGAGGCACGGCATCGAATTCGACCAGGCATTCGCACCAATCAGCCGTCACAGCTCCGTCAGAATTCTCCTTGCCATCGCTGCCGCACGACATCTGCCGCTCCGACAAATTGACGTGAAGAATGTGTTCCTGTACGCACTAGTAGATGCAGTGATCTATGTGGAACAGCCGCACACATACGGCGAAGGGGATTCACGTGTCTGTCAGCTGCGAAAATCCCTGCTAAACAGGCGCCAAGGCTCTGGCAGCAGTACCTGCACAACATCCTGCTTGAAATCGGGTTCAAGCAGCTGCCTCGCGATTTCCGCGGCGAATACATCCTACTGACGGTCTACGTCGACGACCTCCTCTACACAGGGTCAAGCCCCGAATTACTTGAGCAGTTTGAGAAGAATCTCGCGGGGCGCGTCGACATCACCTGCGACCACGACGTGAAGCAGTTTCTCGGCCTCAGCATCACCTACTCCCCAGAAGTCATTCATCTCTTAGCAGCCAAATATGAGAGGAACTTGGCAAGCGCTTTAACATCGCACCTGCACCGCTCTCCACCCCTTATCGCACTCTAGGACCCAACCACAAGCCTGACGACAAAGCCCTGTCCCCCGCTGGGCTTCAGACTTACCAGCAGCAGTTGGGATGTCTGCTCTTCGCCTTTGTTACCTGTAGGCCTGACTTCTCGTACATTGCGAGCCAACTGGCCCATTACTCCCGCAAACCAACGGCTAAAAATCTCTCAGATCTTTAGCGAGCACTCCAATTCTTCATCTCCACACCCAACGTTGGGCTCTGCTACTCCACCATCCCAACCGCGTCCGTCAACCTCATCGGCCACGTGGACGCCGATCATGCCGCCGATCCCGACAATCGACGGTCCGGAATAGGCTTCCTCTTCCGCCTCGAGCCCAGCAGTCCCATCTCCTGGAATTCACGAAAGCAGGAGCTGGTTGCCCTGTCATCAGCAGAAGCAGAGTTCATCGCAGCAACAGCAGCTGTTCGCGAAGGTCTCTACCTTCAGGAGCTGCTGCAGGATGCGAAAATTCCAGCCTCACCGAACTTTCGCCTGCACTACGACAACCAAAGCGCGATCAGAATCGCGAACAAACCTGGATTTGTCAACCGCACCAAGCACATCGCGCTGCGGTACTTCTTCGTCAAGGACGAAGTTGACAAGGGCAAGGTTGACCTAACCTACTGCCCGACGGGTGACATGGCAGCAGATTTTTTCACGAAGAAACTGCCGCGTCAGCAGTACCAGCATTGCTCCGAACTCAGCGGAGTAGTCAAGCGGGTCAAGACCTGCAACGGCCAGGAGTGAAGGGGGGTGTTACAAATAGTAATTATTGAAGCATTTCTGTGCAATCCTTACCGCAGCAATCGAAGCGCGCACTACAGATAATGAAGACGAAAGGACGGAAGTGAAGCGAAGAGTCGTACGGTTACGAAGGCATCTGGAGCGTTGGGCAGACAGCATCAGGCAGCAGCAGTGGCGAGGATTCTGCACGAACGGTTTCGTAACCACCTGGAGTCGCACGGTTTTATCTCACTGTAATAAGGGCATATACCCCTTAGAGTACATGGCTATTAGGTTGTTTCGCATTCCCCTGTACCCTTATTTATATTCCTTGTATTTGCATGTTTTTATCATCTCAAGCATTTTACATGCACTCTGCTATTAAGATTAAAGCCCGAGTCTAGAATGGCTAATTTTCATACATTTTCAAATTTACTGAAGTTGAAGCTAGGTTTGCAAAGGGTGGCGAGAGAAAAATTCGCCGAAGAAGGGTGGCGAAGGGTAGAAGCGGGAAGTACAACCCAACTCAGCTTTCGAGTTCAAGAAACAAGGCTGGCTGCAGAAAAGACAAAAATGCCACAATTCGCCAGAAGCCGAGATGCATCGAGGATTCAGGATTGTTGACAAAGCTGTTACAAAATCGTTTTCAGCATATATAAGAACGATCTAGAAACTTGTAAAATGGTTTAGGGTACGGTAAATGAGACATAAAACGTTCATATGGGCGATTGGCTGGAAGTTGTGTTATTTACAAAAAAAGTGCCACTATTCTGTAATTGATAAAAAGGGGGACATACACCAAGCAAGTGAGACATTGTCAAGTCAGTTACTCCCCTAATAATCCCACTCGTGCCCATTATCGCTCTTCCGGTTCACAAATGCGGAAGGCGAGTGTCGGTGCTGCACATCCATTTTGTGAGGCGTAAGTCGGGTGCAACTTGAGAAGACCTGAGTCAGAATAGGCGAGCGGATACGGACAGCGAGAAGGAAAGGGCAGAGTGAAGAGGAGTGGGATGGAAAGAGATGGCGGGAGGAGGGGAGGTGGGAGGAGGGAAGGTGGGAGGAGGGAAGGTGTAAGTGATATGTGCCTGCGACATGTGTGGGTGACGGGGAGGGTTGGGGTGTGGGAATAAGGGCGGAGATCAGAGGGACGGGGAAAAACGAGTGATGAGAAGGAGAGGGAGCAGGAGCAGTTAGGAATGGAGGAAAGGAAGGGAGGGGAAGGTGGGGGCAGGAGGGAAGGACACAGGGAAAGAGAGAGAGGAACAAGGGGGGAAACGGAGGGAAAGACAGGGGGGAGGTGGAGGGAGGGACAAGGTGGGAAACGGAGGGAAGGACACGGGGAACGGCAGGGAAGGGACAGGGGGGGAAACGGAGGGAAGGACACGGGGAAAGGGAGAGGAGAGGAGGGGAGTGAGTTTGCAGAACGGGAGTGAGTGTCACATGTAAGTGTGTGAGTGACAGGCCCGATGCAAGGCGGTTGCCCTGTGTGGACGGAAGGTGTTGGGCGACGGGAGGGACGGGAAGGACGGGAGGGACTGGAGGAGGGAGGGGGGGTGAGAGAGGGAAGGGAGGAGAGGGGTGGTGAGGGAAGCAATTGACAGGCATGGTTAACAGGAGTGCTGCTGGTAACAGAAGGAAGTGAGTGGGTGTCTTTGTGACCTGGTGTGCGTGAAGGTGACGTGCAATAGCAAGCAATGGAACTGAGTGAGCAAGGGGAGCGAGTGAGGCGGGAGGGAATAAAGGTCTCTTCAGTCCCCCTCCCTACTCTTTGGAGAATGGACAGAGGGAAGGAAGGAGAGAAGGCGAGACGGAAAGGAAGGAGAAGGGATGAGTGGGAAGGGGGAGTAGCGCGTAGGGAAGGGGAGTAGCGCGTAGGGAAGGGGAGTAGCGCGTAGGGAAGGGGAGCAGCGCGTAGGGAAGGGGAGCAGCGCGTAGGGAAGGGGAGCAGCGCGTAGGGAGGGGGAGTAGCGCGTAGGGAAGGGGAGTAGCGCGTAGGGAAGGGGAGTAGCGCGTAGGGAAGGGGAGCAGCGCGTAGGGAAGGGGAGCAGCGCCTAGGGAAGGGGAGCAGCGCGTAGGGAGGGGGAGTAGCGCGTAGGGAGGGGGAGCAGCGTCTAGGGAAGGGGAGCAGCGAGTAGAGAAGGGGGAATAGCGCGTAGGGAAGGGGGAGAAGCGTCTAGGGAAGGGGAGCAGCGCGTAGGAAAGGGGGAGTAGCTAGGGAAGGCAGAGCAGCGCGTAGGAGGGGGAGCAGCGCGTAGGGAGGGGGAGCAGCGCCTAGGGAAGGGGAGCAGCGCGTAGGGAAGGGGGAGCAGCCCGTAGGGAAGGGGGAGTAGCGCGTAGGGAAGGGGGAGGCCAAGACACACATGAGTGACAGAAATGATAAGTGACGGAATGGAGCGCGACGGGCAGGAGAAGGGAGCGCGTCGAACAGGAGAAGGGAGCGCGACGAGCAGGAGAAGGGAGCGCGACGAACAGGAGAAGGGAGCGCGACGAGCAGGAAAAGGGAGCGCGACGGGCAGGGGAAGCGAGGGAACGGGGCAGGGTGCGCGATGGGAAGGAGACGGGAGTGCGACGGGCAGGGGAAGCGAGCGCGAAGGTAAGGGGAAGGGAGGGCGACGAATAGGCGGCGGAGGCAAGGGCAACGGTACCGCCTCGACGATGGGAACGGCATTGGGAACGAAAGTGACATTGGCCGCGACAGGTTGGTTGGGAGTGCCCCAACCGCCTACGGCCGGAATGGTGGTTGACTCCGCTCACAAGAGCTCATTGTCAAGGCCCCTTGTGTGTTACCGCTGGCGTCTTGAGTAGGAAGGTGACTCGATTGTGTGAATTTGTGAGTGGATGGGAGTGACGGGTCTGACGGGGGACACAAGACGAACGGGAGAGACGGGACGGACGGGCGGGAGTGAGTGCGCTAGGCGTCAACTACGCTATTTTGTTAGCTATGGAGGCACCTAGTGATCGAGTCTGTTATGGTTAGCTCGACGTTCAAGTTTGCAGATGTATGAACAGTGGCCTGTTGGGTTGGCTTTTGTGGCGAGAGGGTTGATAAATTTGCCTGTGTTGATCTCAGCCAATCAGAATCCCTCAACCAAAAACTGTTTCCCGTGGTCGCGAGTGCCTCGCAGTTCAAAAGTGGGTTACCCTGTTTTTTGCGATTTCAGCTTCAAGAATCTTGAACTTGAACCATTGCCATTCTAGACTCGGGCTTTAAGGGCCTACCACCACTAATCAGTAGTGTGCGAACCTTTCTGAGGAGATCCTAGGAACAACCAATTTCTGATCGCAGCAGAATCAATTTGCGACGTCGCAGGCGTACGGACGGAATGTGACACCTTTTTAGTTTTTTAGGGCTGGTAATTACGTCCGTTCGGCGTCCGGTTGTAACTCGGACCGTTGATTTTGGTGCGCATTTATTATAGCGCGAACACAGAAAGGTCGTTACATTGTCGCATACAGTTCGCGTACCCAAAACATAAAAGTTCCACAATTGAGGTCCGGGCTGGAATTCGTCGGGACATTTGTTCCAAACGTCCGAATCGACGCCTGTCCGTACGGTTTTACGTGCTGGTCCGGACAATTGACGGTTCGGAGAAAAGTTACACGCCCTTAGACTGACGCTTTCGGCAAAGTCATTCTCGTCAACGAATTTCCATTCCTTGCGGATTCCATAGCACAAGCCCCTTCCACTGACGAATTCACTATGCGTGCGTGTCGTACGCGACATTCATGCGAACTTGCCACCTTGTTCTGGTCGTCTTCGCCACTGTCGTGGAGTTCGCATCCCCTGCGACACCCGCCTCGTCTCCTTTTCTGGTTCTGAACGTCAACCTCTCCCACCCAACCCTTCCCTTCGTTCCGTTTTACCTCCGAAGTGCTGCATAGCCGCTTCTTGGCCAAAAACACACACCTCCAATAATTTCGACAGCAATCCACTCCATCCCACTCGCAGGAGCCAGAGGCAAGAGGTATATCTTGGATGTAGGAGTCACGCATGCCTGCAGACCGTTTCCACGCAATGCGACGATAAGTAGCTTTATCGCGACCATAGCCTTGTACATCCTTTCCTACAGAACTTATCATCTATCGTTGGAAAGATTTGTTCGGTTTGACGACGTAAGGAAATTGCAACGTACTGCTTTAGTTCTCCTCTTTCAATCTTACTACGGCCTGTACTGAGTAGTGCTACGTGTAGTTGTTGAGTCCACGGAGGGTTTGAAGCGCAGCGCTGCCCCTCTTGAGCACCCGCTTTTTGACCCAGTGAGTAGCGGGGCCTAATACCGTGGGTGGTTGTCGTAGTAGCAAATCCACCGTTCCACAACTGTAACGGCTTAAACCACTCCATGCCGTCAATGCGAACCAACGCCGCGTTCCACGGCGTCGCGTCATGGTCAGCAGCCGTCCCCCTCGTCGTGCCGCCTCGGCGACGCGCCCGCGCCGCCGTCCTCCTCGCTCGTGACGCGCGGCGAATGTCAGCCGTGCTGCTACTCGCTGCGCTTCTCGCGCTTCAACCCGGAGCGCAACCGCGACTCGCTGACACTGACGCCGGCGGCGGCGGCGGGGGCGGAGGCAGGGTGCTTCTCGCAAGAGCTGCGGATTCGGCGTGGATTCACGAAGCCGATGGTGAGTGATGCTGTGGATTGACCGCGTGATAGTGAGTTGAGATGATGATGGCGGCTCGGGAGGAACGGTTTGGTGACTTTGAGTCGACTCAAAAGTCATTCGGCGTGGATTCATGAAGCCAATGGTGAGGGACGCGCCTTGACCGCGGGAGGAGGGTGTTTAGATGATGGCGGCTTCGGCGGAAGGGTTTTTGGGAGGAAGTGTGGGAAGGGGAGGGGAAGGGGAGCGGGGGGAAGGAAGACAGGGAGGGGTTTCGGTGGTGGAAAGAGGGCGAATTGAGAGAGGCGGAATTTCAGCTTCGAGGCGCCTCCGAAGGAACAGTTCATTAGGAGGGACCGCTTGAGAGGTCGGCATCCCCCGGGCCGTTTATCGGGAGGTTTCCTCCTTTCAAACCGGAGGGCCAAGAAGGCCCAAATTGCCTGAACCTTCCTAACCTTGGTTGAGTTTGGCCCTCGCACCCAAAATCTGGCCAATTGTGTTGCTCGCTCCAACCAAGCTTCCTAAGGTTGAAGTTCTTGGCCCGCGGGTTTTAACCCGCTGCGATCAACAGCTCACAACAGAGCGCGCAGAAAGGGTAGATATTAAGAGGACTCGGAAGTCTTTATGGAGGTTCGCAGTGTATTAGTAGCGCTGCTTCATGCAAGACTGTGTACTACACCCCCCTTTCAACTCTATTCATAACTCCTCGCCCTCCCGCTTCCATCTTGAAACATGCGATTCCTCGCCCGTCAAGTGGCTGGTGGAGATAATGGGTGCGTGGGGCAAGCAGCTCGCAGGGTGACTTGAGCAGTAGTGTGCCTGTGCCGATTCATGCATTGAGTGTACACCCCCCTTCATCTTGATATGCTTCTTTGTTCTGTTCTTTCCGTCCCCAGCCAAGTGGCTGGCAGAGATTATGGGCGCGTGGGGCAAGCAGTTCGCGGGGTGGCTATTGAGCAGTACTAGTGGCGGTGCCGCTTCATGTAGTGTGCAGTGCACCCCCCTTCATCTTGAGGCATTCTACTCGTTTTCCCTGCTCTTTTCACACGCACACCAGCCAAGTGGCTGGCAGAGATAATGGGCGCGTGGGGCAAGCAGTTTGCGGGGTGGCAGAAGAACGGGGTGTGTGCGACCGCGTGGGGTCTGACCTGCAAGGACGTGTCGGGGCGAGTTTCTTCCATGTGAGTGACGTGGATTCAGGTGGGTGTATGAGAGTGACGTGGATTCATGTTAGTGTGACGTAGATTCATGTGAAAGTGCCGTGCATCACTGTGAGTGCAACGTGAATGTGAGTACGGCATGTGTGTGAGTGCCGTCAAATGTGCGCATGTGAGTGCAGAACCTGATGCCACTTCCTTGATACCCCTCCATGACGTCACCATCCCATCATCATATCCCACCATCCCCCCATCATGCAACCATGCCACCATGCCACCGTGCAGGTCTCTCCCATCGCAGCAGCTGAGTGGAGGTATCCCATCCGCCATAAGCCTCTTGACCTATCTCACACGCCTGTGAGCCACTTGACCTACCTCGCACGCCTGTGAGCCTTTCGAGACAGACGTCTTTGAAACCCTTAGTCACGCATGCCATACCATGACTACTGAATCCTCCGTTTGCCATGTATTGTAAGCCTCTCACACGCCATGCCTCACATCATGCCCGCTGATTAGCCTCTCTCTCTATCTCTCCCACTCCCTCCCACGAACTTCACTTCCACCGCTGTTTTTCCCTTCCCGTCCCTCTTTATGGTCAGGGACTTTTCTTCAGCTCCTACCAGCTTTTCTTCAGCTCCTACCAGCTTTTCTTCAGTCTACTAAAAAAAAAATCTCGTCTTTCTCTGTGCCGTCAGGGACTTGAGCTCCAACCAGCTCTCCGGCCCCCTTCCTGACTTCCTTGGGGCGCTGCTCAACCTTCAATACCTGTACGCCATGGACCATGCACCATGCACCATGCGCCATGCCCCATGCGCCATGCACCATGCGCCATGCACCATGCGCCATGCACCATGCGCCATAGACCATGCACCACGCGCCATGCGCCATGGACCATGCACCATGCGCCATGCGCCATGGACCATGCGCCATGCGCCATGCGCCATGGACCATGCACCATGCACCATGCGCCATGGACCACGCACCATGCACCATGCGCCATGCACCATGCACCATGCGCCATGGACCATGCACCATGCACCATGCGCCACGGACCAGGCACCATCCACCATGCGCCATGGACCATGCACCATGGACCATGCGCCATGGACCATGCGCCATGCACCATGCGCCATGCTCCATGCGCCATACACCATGCGCCATGCGCCATGCACCATGTGCCATGCCCCATGCGCCATGCGCCATGCACCATGCGCCATGCACCATGCGCCATGCACCATGCGCCATGCGCCATGCGCCATGCGCCATGCACTATGCGCCATGGACCATGCGCCATGCACCATGCGCCATGGACCACGTACCATCCACCATGCGCCATGGACCATGCACCATGCGCCATGCCCCATGCGCCATGCACCATGCGCCATGCCCCATGCGCCATGCCCCATGCGCCATGCACCATGCACCATCCACCATGCGCCATGGACCATGCACCATGCGCCATGCCCCATGCGCCATGGACCATGCACCATGCGCCATGCCCCATGCGCCATGCACCATGCGCCATGCGCCATGCGCCATGCACCATGCGCCATGGACCATGCGCCATGCACCATGCGCCATGCCCCATGCGCCTTGCGCCAAGCACCATGCGCCATGCCCCATGCACCATGCGCCATGCACCATGCCCCATGCCCCATGCGCCATGCGCCATGCACCATGCACCATGCACCACGCATACATTTCCCATGCACAATGCAGCATGCGCCATGCACCATGCAGGATGCATCATTATCTACCCTCTCTCTACACCATATATCATTAACAATTGCACACCGAGAGCATGGTGAGATAGAAACGCCGCATGCGACACACATAGCACACATAGCATCCAATGCAATGCAATGCTTGAATGTATGACATGCGCCATGCGACGAGTGCCTTCGGGAACTTGACCTCGAAGACGTTTCAAAAAAATGCCTGAGTAACTGTCTGTCATATGCGCCATGCCATGCCATGCCATGCCATGTGGGGCTGCAGAGACTTAAGCAGCAACTCGTTTGACGGAACCATTCCCAGCAGCTTCAGCAACCTTGTGAACCTGCGATCGCTGTGAGTCCAAAGGGACATCACTCGAATGCTAAATATGACTCCTGACTCGACTCAAAAGTCACCTCGATACAATGACGCCAGCAGCTTCGGCAACCTTGTGAACCTGCGATCGCTGTGAGTCTGACTGAACGCCACTTGAATGCCAAAGTGACTCTTGAGTAGACTCAAAAACCTCCTCGTTACAATGGCACCAGCAGCTTCAGCAGCCTCATGAACCTCCGATTCTCCAATTGCTGAAGGGACATCAGTTAAATTCCGAAGACCTACTTTGCAGCACGGACTTTCAAGCACTGTGTTTCGGTAAAGGGAAGGTGCCTGCATGTGAGCATCATGCTACTTTCAACAAACCTCAGGGTGCGTGTGACACATCATGCTTTTTACTGTCACTCGATTTCACCTCCTCCTTCCCTCTGCTCCCTCCTACCTCTCATCCTTCCAATCCCTCCTCTTCCATCCTCTCTCTGTCAACTACACTCCTCCCTCATCCTCCTCGCATTTTCTCCGTCTCAACCCCTCTCTCTCACCCTCAACCTATCATCAGCTCTCTGCACCACAATCAATTATCGGGCCCCATTCCCCCTTTCATCGACCAAGCCAAGCTCCTCTCCCTCCTGTAAGAAACCTCTGGTGCCCACCTTTACAACTGAGGCCGTAGACACGGCAAAGTGTCGAGTCTCTCTCATTCTATTCTTTACATGGTCGCTTCTTTCCTTGCCCTGCTCCCCGCTGGTCGCTTCTTTCCTTGCCCTGCTCCCCGCTGTCCACCTCTCAGTTTCACCAGTTAGAATCCGCTAACTCTCCCCTCTGACCCTTCCCCCGCACGAGATGAGACGATTTTTGAGCTGACTGAAATATCGTCCCACCTTCCAGCTTCACCGGGTGGCATCTGCTAGGTCTCCCCTTCTCCCACCCTTCCCCCTCACCTCCCCCATGCCTGCAATGTGGGATTTGGGACTCTGAGTAGCAACCGCTTCAGGGGAATCGTCTCAGAATCTCATGCCCACACCTCCCACACATGCCTGCACCTCCCACACATGCCCACACCTCCCACAAATGCCTGCACCTCCCACACATGCCCGCACCCCCCACATGCCCGTGCCTCCCCCCGTGCCTGCACCTCCCCCCATGCCCGCACACCCCCCCCCCCCCCCCCCATGTCCGCACCTCCCTCATGCCTGCACCTCGTGAGCAGGGATATGAGCAGCAACTGCTTCACATGGCCATTCTTTAGATATCTCATATTCGCACCTTCCCCCATGCCCTCACTGCATGAGCAGGGACCTAAGCAGCAACGGCTTCACAGGGCCCATTCCGCCTCAGATCGCCACTCTCACCAACCTCACCACCTTGTGCGCCCCCCCCTTGCTCCTCTCTCCTTCCATAAACCTTGAAACCTTCAAACTTGATTTCAAGTGCCAGCTTTAGCTGGGGTTGTGGGGACGTGCTTATTGGTTCTCGTCTGCTTCTGCCATCTCCGTATCATTCCCCTGTGCCTCTAGTGTTTTTTCTTTTACTTTCCTCAACTCGTTCCCTTCATTTATAATCTCTCCGTCTTCCCTCTTTATATTCTTCCCCCGCCCCCGTTGTCCTTCCTTCCTCTACGAGCCGTGCGCAGAAGCTTGGGTGGCAACGAGGGATTGGTTGGCAGCATTCCAGAGGCAATAGGCAACCTCACGTCTCTGGAGTCTCTGTGAGTGACCAGGTGGCTTGTTCTGAGTCCACACACAATGTCAATTACTGAGTTTACACACTAGGCAACCCCTCCTCCTCACGTCCCTAGAGCCTCTGTGAGTGACCAGGTGGCTCATTTGAGTCCACGCAACAAGTCTTTTCTCCGCACAGCTGGATTTTTTTGTTGACGTAAGAGTTAGTTCGGAGGCAGTGGGCAGCCATACTGCCCAGCTGTCTCTGTGAGTAGGCAGTGGGCAGCCATACTGCCCAGCTGTCTCTGTGAGTAGGCAGTGGGCAGCCATACTGCCCAGCTGTCTCTGTGAGTAGGTGGAAGGGTCTCACACACATCGGTTCTCAACCCTTCCCATTCTCCTTCCAGTTCTCTTGTTTCTGCATTATCACCGCTTTCCGCCTTTTTCGTTATCATGTTAGCCTCACAACAGAGAGCAGCATCGGTTGCAGCATCATGTTAGCCTCACAACCCACTTGTTAAAGCAAGAGTGTTTTGCTCTCCACTCCCTGTCACCATAAAGCTGGGGTAAATTCAGCCTAATGGCTCGCTAACGCTCACCCTGAGGGTTTTTTTGAGGATGCTCGGAACCACCTTGCTCTTTTCCCTTGGATACATATTTTCCTTTCACCCTCCACGCCCTGCCACCACCAGCAAGCTGGGGTCAACTCAGCTCAATGGCACCCTGCCTCTCAGCTTGAGCCGTCTTGCTCAACTCACCATGCTGTAAGCTGTGCGGTGCGGGCAGGCATGCAGGGTGGTGTGAGTCATGCAATCAACAATGGTGAGACGCATCCCATCTCGCCTGGTAGAACGGACCATCCTGTGTTGTGACGTGTAGAACGGACCATCCTGTGTTGTGACGTGTACAACGGACCATCCTGTGTTATGACGTGTACAACGGGTCATCCTGTGTTGTGACGTGTAGAACGGACCATCCTGTGTTGTGACGCGTAGAACGGACCATCCTGTGTTGTGACGTGTACAACGGGCCATCCTGTGTTGTGACTGTACCATGATCAGCTAATGACCCGTTCCACTCTCTTCCAGCTTATCACTTCGTTCCTCGCCCTCCCCTCCTTCGTTGCTCTTCATTTTTCAAGCAGCAATTGTTCTTTCCCACCCACCATCCTCCCTCCCTCCCAATCTCCATTCCAGTGACATCAGCAACACGGCAATCAGCGGCTCAGTACCTGCTTTTCTCGGAAACCTCTCTGATTTCCTCACCTTGTCAGTTGCTTACCTTCCCATTTCCACACGCTGACTCAAAACGTCTCTTTCTTCCTCCTCATGTTGTCAGTTGCTTTCTTACTCTCTTCCTCGCATTGTCAGTCGCTTCATTTCTTACTTCCTCACATTATTAAAGGCTCACTTTCTCACTTCCTCGCATGCCAGCCGCTGCATCATTTCTCCATCTATACTATTCCCCTCCATACTCATTTCCACGATTTTTGAGACCTCTCAAAACTCGCTGCATCACTTCTCCATCTATACTATTTCCCCCCATTATTCATTTCCCGTGTCCTCTTGCTCGTCCCACCTGCCCATCGTCTCTCTTGCAGCATGAAGAGCAGCAGCATGACATGCAACAGCACCACCGACAGCAGCAGCAGTGTGTGCGCGCTGGTCAGCCCCTCAACAGTCTCCCGCAACTCAGCCTTGTGCCGGGAGTGCCCCGACCTCTGCTCCACGTGCCTCCCAGGTGAGGCTTCCATCAACTCCCATCCGCCACCCTGCCTCCCATCCGCCACCCTGCCTCCCATCCGCCACCCTGCCTCCCATCCGCCACCCTGCCTCCCATCCGCCACCCTGCCTCCCAGGTGCCGCATTCGTGCAATCTCGCCACCATGCCTCCCTTTTTCCCTTCTACTCCCTCCTGCTCCTCTCCCTCACCTTTCCCCATCTTCACTCCACTGCTCTCCTCTCCTTGTCTCTCGTCCCCTTGTCCCCCCATGTCCTCCGGCGCCCTCCCCTCCTGCTGCTCCGCTCACTTTCACAACCCCCAGGCGATTCGAGATCCTCCCCTCCAGCCCCTCCAGCCCCTTCTGGCCCGTCACAGCCCTCAGGGGATTCCAGATCCTCCTCTCCCTCTACGCGTCTCATCATTGGTGTGGCAGTGCCAGTGCTGCATCTGCTGCTGCTGCTGCTGCTGCTGCTGCTGCGGCGAGAGTTGCTGCTTCTGATCCTGCTGTGCTTCTTTCCCCATCGTCACTCTACAGCTCTCCTCCCTTTGTCCCCTTGTCCTTGTCCCCTTGTCCCCTTGTCCTCCCCACGTCCTCATGTGTCCTCCCCTCCAGCCCCTTCTGGCCCGTCACAGCCCTCAGGGGATTCCAGCTCCCCCTCTCCCTCTACGGATCTCATCACTGGGGTGGCTGTGGCAGTGCTGCCTCTGCTTCTGCAGAGGCTACTGCTGCTGGGAGGGCTGCTGTTGATGCTGTTTTTGCTGCCCTGGTTCTTTCCCCATCTTCACTCCACTTCTCTCCTCCCCTTTGCCATCTCATCTCCTTCTGTACCGTCCCCCTGCAGCCGCTCCCCCGCCCACCGACCCCTCACAACCCTCAGGCTCCTCCTCCTCTTCTTCTACCGGGCTCATAGTTGGGGTGGCGGTGGCAGTGGCCGTGCTGCTGCTCCTGCTGCTGTGGGCGGTGCTGTGGTGGTGGAGAAGACGGGAGCAGGGGGAGAAGCAAGGTGGGTGTTTGTGCTGGTAGGTAAGCACAACGCTCGCATTTTCACGCATTTGCATGTGTGTGCTGCTGCTGCTGCTGCTGCCGCTGCCGCTGCCGCTGCTGCTGCCGCTGCCGCTGCCGCTGCTGGTGTGGGCTGTGATGTGGAGGTGGAAACGACGGGATCAGGTAGAGAAGCAAGGTGGGTGCGTGTGTGTGGGAAGGCACTATGTGTGTGCATATGCGCATGTGTGCATGCGTGCGTGCGTGTGCATGCGTGTGTGTGTGCGTGCATGTGTGCGCGTGCTGCTGCTGCTGTCGCTGCTGCTGCTACTGTGGGCGGTGCTGTGGAGGTGGAAAAGGCGGGAAATGCATGTGTGTGTGCGTGTGTGCGTGCATGCGTGCATGTGTGGTTGCGTGCATGCATGCGTGCATGCGTGTGTGCGTGCATGCGTGCATGTGTGGTTGCGTGCATGCGTGCGTGCGTGTGTGCGTGCATGCGTCTGTGTGCGATCGTCATGACGGAGTGAAAACAACATGCTGAGTAAGCAAGCAAAATTTTTCCTCTCTACATGAATGCTCCTCCTCCCTTTCAAATGTCTGTTGTGTGTAAGGGCCGTAAGAAAGTTACCAGCCTCGAGTCTCACCTCCCCATTTCCCATCCCATGTACCCACCCGCCCCTCACAGGCCCGTCACCCTTCACAGTGGCTGCTGGAGAGGGAGAGGAGCCCATTGACTGCCAGCAGTATTCCACAGGGGACATGCGCCGAGCCACAGCGGACTGGTCATCGCGCGGAATCGCATCCCACCTCCCATGTCCCTGTTTCCACCCGTCTGTACCCACCCCCACCCCTTGCAGGCCATCACCCTTCACGGTTGCTGTTGGGGAAGGCGAAGAGCCAATTGATTGCAGCAGTATTCGCGGACTGGCCCTCGCGGAACCTCATCCCACCTCCCGGTATCCCTGTTTTCCACTCCCCTGTAACCGCCCCCACCCCTTGCAGGCCCATCACCCTTCACGGTCGCTGTTGGGGAGGGAGAGGAGCCCATCGACTGCCAGCAGTACTCGATAGAGGACATGCGGCGGGCCACAGCCGACTGGTCCTCGCGGAACCGCATCGGCACGGGGGGCTTTGGAGACGTGTTCAGAGGGGCATCGCCGTACGACCCGACTGTCTTCTGGGCGGTGAAGCGAGCTCGTGTACTTACAAACGACTTCCTTAAAGAGGTGAGATCTGATATGCGTGCATGCGTATGGTAAAAGGGTGGGGGCATTGCCATCCCAACCCCAGCGTGTTCGGGGGCTTTGGAAACGGGGGCCTTCGGAAACGGGGGCCTTCGGAAACGGGGGGCTTTGGGGATGTTTTCAAAGGGGCGCCGCCGTACGACCCAACCGTGTTCTGGGCGGTGAAGCGGGCGAGAGTGCTGACAAACGACTTGTTCCTGAAAGAGGTTGGCGACCCAAGTGTGTTCTCGGAAGTGAAGCAAAGAGGGCGCTGCACACCAACCTCTTCCGAGAGGGCGCTGCACACCAACCTCTTCCGAGAGGGCGCTGCACACCAACCTCTTCCGAGAGGGCGCTGCACACCAACCTCTTCCGAGAGGGCGCTGCACACCAACCTCTTCCGAGAGGGCGCTGCACACCAACCTCTTCCGAGAGGGCGCTGCACACCAACCTCTTCCGAGAGGGCGCTGCACACCAACCTCTTCCGAGAGGGCGCTGCACACCAACCTCTTCCGAGAGGGCGCTGCACACCAACCTCTTCCGAGACCACACTCGGGTGGCCCCTTCTCCCTTTCCCCCCCTTGGCAGATCGAGCACATGGCGAGCAAGAACCACCCGTGCGTCCCATTCTCTTCTCTGTCCCGGTCTTGCCAATCACCCTCCCTCTCTCTCCCCGTCCCGCCTTCCCCCCCCCCCCCCCCCCTTCCCCCTCTTCACAGATCGAGCACATGGCGAGCAAGAACCATCCGTGCCTGGTGCGGCTGCTGGGGTTCTGCCACGACTACAACCCGCGCACCCAGCGCATGGAGCAGATCGTGATCTACGAGTTCATGGATAATGGCGACCTGTCCCAGTGGACCAAACCAGGTATGAGTGAACGGGGGGAGGGGAGGGAGTAAGTACAACCCGCGCACCCAGCGCGTGGAGAAAGTTGTGACCTACGAGTTCATGGATAATGGTGACCTGTCTCAGTGGACCAAAGCAGGTGAAGAATGAGATCATAGATAGAGGGTGGCTGTGACTGTCTTTTCACCATGCTTGAATGTGTGAAGAATATAACATTGTACCCCGCCGTCCTTGCAACATCACCAAGGGCCAAGAAAGCACCTGACAACCATTCAGCTGCTGGACACGCTGCTGTTGGTGCCACAGGGGCTGGCGTACCTGCAAGGCTGTGGCATCTGCCTTCAAGAATGCTCGTCTCACCCTGCTTTACCCTGCCTTCAAGAATGCTCGTCTCACCACCAGGCGGCAAGCACTTGACAGCAGTCCAGCTCCTTGACACACTGCTGTCAGTGCCACAGGGGCTGGCGTACCTGCATGTCTCTCGCACCTCTCTTCAAAGCTGCTCAATTCACCCTCCTTTCTCCCTGCTCGTTCCCCTTCCCCCTCCCCAAACCCACTAGGCGGCAAGCACCTGACAGCGCTTCAGCTGCTGGATACGCTGCTGTCGGTGGCACAGGGGCTGGCGTACCTGCATGGGTTTGAAATCGTGCATCGAGACATCAAGCCGGGGAACATCCTGCTGGATAAGAGCATGCAGGTGGGAGGTGGGGTGTGCTGACCCTGAGGGCGCCTCGAAAGTCGTCTTAAATGCAGCATGCACGTGGGAGCTGTCCTGTGCTGGCAGCAGCATGCACGTGGGAGCTGTCCTGTGCTGGCAGCATACACGTGGGTTCTTTGTTTCCAGAACGTCTCAAGTAGTGCTCTTGCCTAATCGGAATACGATATTGCTGGTGAAGAGCCGAGTTTTGAGACGTCTCAAAACCACGTGATAAAAGCTGAGTTTGAGACGTCTCAGAACTAATCGGAATACAATATTGCTGGTGAAGAACCGTACGTGCAGCGAAATCAGGTCATCATAACTTCTCCCAGTTGTCTGATTCACCTTGCATCTGCCAAACTCTTCAGGCGAAGCTGTCAGACTTTGGACTGCTGCTGCTAAGGATGAGTGAGAGAGAAGCACGGTCAAGTCAATGCAAGTCAACAGGAGGCCATAAAGGTCAACGCCTCCCACATGTCCATGTCATACCCTTCCTCGTCATGGCAGGCGAATCTGTCAGACTTTGGGCTGTTTCTGAGGATGAGTGAAGGCAGCAAAATGAAGTCAACACAAGTCAACAGGAGGCCACAAAAGTCAACGCCTCTCACATGTCCTCCCCACCACCCTCCTCGTCATGGCAGGCGAAGCTGTCAGACTTTGGGCTGCTGCGGATGAGTGAGAGCAGCACGGTCAAGTCAACGCGAGTGATGGGCACACCAGGCTATGTGGATCCCATCTACGCTCAGACTCGCAAGGCCACCACTGCAGCTGATGTGTACAGGTACAGAGCGGTGCAGTGCAGTGCAGGTGCAGTGCAGGGTATGCAGTGTGGTGCAGTGCGGTGCAAGCCGGGTATTGTCCTGTGAGAGTGATGGGCACACCGGGCTATGTGGATCCCATCTACGCGCAGACCCACAAGGCCACAACCGCATCTGATGTGTACAGGTACTGGGCGGTTCAGAGCGGTTTAGTGTGGCTCAGGGCAATCCGTTGCGGTGCAGGGTGGTGCACGCAGGGGATTGTCCTGTATGTGTGTGCATGGGCACTCCGGGCTTGGTTGAAATCATCCAAGTTCAGACTCGCAAGCCACCTCTGCAGAGCAGAGCAGACAATGTGTGCATGACTCCCTGCCAAACCCTTGCTTCCATGCCCTTGCTTCCATGGCCTTGCTTCCATGGCCTTGCTTCCATGCCCTTGCTTCCATGGCCTTGCTTCCATGCCCTTGCTTCCATGGCCTTGCTTCCATGCCCTTGCTTCTTCCCGGCATGCAGCTTTGCCATTCTGATTCGACTTTTAAGATGCCTCGAAATTTGCCTCCACCCACGACCCTGCCTCCTCCCATGCCCCTGCCTCCTCCCATGCCCCTGCCTCCTCCCACACCCTTGCTTACATGGCATGCACGCAGCTTTGGCGTTCTGATTCTCGAGCTCCTCACGAGCAAGAGGGCCGTCTTTCCGGTCAACAACCGCCCCGTTCACCTCCGCGACTGGGTGGGTGGCCTTGCCTCCGCTCGTACTACTTGCCTTTCTCCCTCATTTACTACTTTATCCCAGGTCACACTTGCAACTCTTTCACTGCTTTCATTCCAGTGCACACTTGCACGCTCAGCTCCCTCATTCTCAGCTGCTTGCCTTCTTTCCTCACCGGGCACTCTCCATGCGCTGTTCCCTGGAGACTTCATCTTCTTAACCTTCTCAACCTTCGCCACCACCTTTCTTCACGCGCTTTTACACCAGTGCGCTCTTTCACACTCAGCTTCCTCTTCCCCAAGGAATCTCCCTCGTCTTATGCACTGTTCCACTGGGACTCAACCTTCTCCATCCCTCTGGACCATGCACAACCGCTCTGCATCCATCCATGCATCCATTCATCCAACCATCCGTCCGTCCGTCCGTCCGTCCGTCCGTCCGACCGTCCGTCCGTCCGTCCATCCATCCATCCATCCATCCATCCATCCATCCATCCATCCATCCATCCATCCATCCATCCATCCATCCATCCATCCATCCATCCATCCATCCATCCATCCATCCAACCATCCATCCATCCATCCATCCATGCACCCACCCACCCATCCACCCATCCATCCATCCATCCATCAATGCATCCATCCATGCATCCATCCATCCGTACATCCATGCATCCATCCATGCATCCATCCATCCATCCGCGCAGGTCTCCCAGCAGTTGCACCCCAATGCGCACGGTGCGAATCAGAACGACCCCTCCACCAATATTCCCATCAATGTACGCTCCACTCCTCTGCCTCTATTGCCTCTCCTCCCTCTGCCTCTCCCTCTACCTCTCCTGCTTCTGCCTCTGCCTCTGCCTATGCCTCTGCCTGCACTTCCTTTGCCCCCACTCCCTCTTGCCCTCTTGTTTCAAAAAATGATTTCAAAAAATAGCCGCTCATTTCGAGGCGCCTCAACAGTCCTCAGAAATTTCTCTATACTTCCAGAGCTATGCCTTTTGAAAGGTGGCCGCTCATTTTGTCGATTTTCAGATGCCAGGCCATTGAATTTCCTGCTGCTCCTCCTCCTCCTTCACTCTTCCCCCTCATCCCCACCCCCCTCTTACTCCTGAAATTGTGCACTCACACCGACATGCACGTTCACAAGCATACCACATTCCTTCCTTGTCACTCCCACCTCCACCACACACCAGAACCCACAAGTCTTCCAATTGCTCTCAAGTGTAGGCCTGTGAAACATGATCATCCACTCTCGCTCCTTGCTTTCCACTCCTCTTTCCCTCCCTGCTTCCCACTCCTCCCTCCCTCCCTGCCGCCCATCCCTCCCTCCCTGCCGCCCATCCCTCCCTCCCTGCCTCCCATCCTTCCCCCCTTGCACCTGCAGCCACCACCACAGCTACGAGCAAGCACAGACCTCTTGGGAGTGGTTGATACGCGCCTGGCCATGCCTCAACGCGCAGCACTGCGCCTGCTCCACCTCGCCCTCTCCAGCACCGCTGATTCACTCGCCTCTCGTCCCTCCATGATGAAGCTTGTCTTGGAACTAGAGACGCTTAAAAACGAAGTTGCTGCCATGCAGCAATAGTCTCCGAGTTGATGTGTCTAGCGCCGTTCCAAATCCTGCCCATAGAAATAAGTCCATGTGCACTATCAAACCCATAACAGATTTTTTGTCGTAATTTTGTGGATCATGGAAGATCGTTATTACCGTATTTCCATGTTCATTTAGCCCAATCATATGTTCCCTATGCGAAAGATATCAAAGGGCTGAGTGTAGTAGTTTGAAATCTGTACAGTGTTGGGCTCACCGAGGCTTCTATGCGGCAAACCGAACCAGGTTTTGGAATTCGTTGTCAGATCAAGGCCCGTCTTCCAGCCAACTGCCGAGGCGCCGTAACCCTTGCCTTGGGGCTTCGTGGTGCGTCCCTAACCAGCCGAACTTCCGGGCCATGGCGTTGACATGGTCAGAACCAACTGGTTCGACTGGACCAAGCCACCCAACAAACTTCACAAACCAAACCTAGTTGCCAGACACATCTCCTTTCTCGGATGAAATCCGTCAAACTCCGTCATCTGTCATTCCACGGCTAACGGCTAACTCACAGCTCGTTCACAGCTCACCCCATCACCTTCCGTCTGTGCCGGGCTAGCCCGTAGCATATACAGTGCCCCGCGCACCGCAAGCAACGTTGCATAGTCCGAGTTTTTCTGGTAACCCGTTGAGAAAGTGACGACCACCAACCATGTTTACGACCAACCATCCGAGTGCTGCGACATCGCCTTCTCGTCTGTAACGTAGGGCGCGATTCTCTCGTTTCAAATCAAGAAAGGGGTACAAAGTTCGCTGAATCGCTTGTAGATTCATTCAGAAGTGTACGCCCTCAAGCTTGCTTTCTACCCTTTCCACCCCATCCTTTTCTAGAATCTGCCAGTTCCCATCGGCCTCGGTGCAGGTGTCTCTGCCACAAGTAGAGCTACGTTCATGGTATGGTATGGTGTTCTATTCACGCCTGTTCGGTAACTTCTGTGTCTCTGCTGTTCGCTGCACGACCTGGACTGGAGGCGCTCCCATCACATCATGCCGTTGGCTCACTAGTCTCGGGTTTGCTCCGCGTCGGTTCAGTTCATGGCTACCCGAGTAGGATAATATAGGCTGGCTTATGTGCCGCTACGAGTTGATGATCCTTTTTCTCAGCATACTATGACGAGACGCAAGCTGCGAATTTCCCTCGTATCAAGTCTTGCTCTGTGAATAGAGCTTGAGAAAACTTTTAGGTTAACTCCGTAGGTGCGGTCCGTGGATCGCGCTGTCTCTCCATGCTCGGATGCATCTAACCGACGTAACGCCTCTCCACGCAGCCTCCTGCAGTCTCGCTCCCGCTCCCCCTCCTGCTACTGCGTCCTCGTCTGCTGCTGCCACTGCTGCCGCTGCTGCTTCTCTTGCTGCTTCTGCTGCTGTTGCTCTTGCTGTCACAACCCCTTTTGCTGATGAGACCACTATCACTGACGTGACCTCTGCTGTCGCCTCTAGTACCATCGATACTTATCCCACGGCGCCGTCCGCTTCCACGTCAGCTCCAGTCGTATCGTGCGGCGAAGAGCCAGGGCCACTTTCCGATATCCCTCCTCGCACCGCGTCGCCTGTACCCGAGATATTTCCGCGAACCGCGTCGGCTGACGGTGACGGAACGCAACTCGCAGCTCCGTCGTCGCCCGGAGCCGTCGCCGAAGAGCCAGCGACTGCGTCGCAGATAATCCCTCGCATCTCAGCCGTTGACGGTGCCATCGGCCATCTCGCAGCGCCTTCGTCTCTCGGGCCGGCAGCCGAAGCGCCTGAACCGGTTTCTGACACGGTTCCTCGCGCCGCGACCGTAGAAGCGAGCATCACGCGTCGCACGAATCCGCCTGCTCCCGCAGCTGTGCCGGCGACTCTCGCAGCCGTTCCGTTTCCGAACCCCGCTCCTCCCGCTCCGTTCGCTCCTAGCCGTTGGATCTGGCTGGCGACCCCGATCACCATTCTTCTGTCGCTCTTTCACCCCGTCCTCCTCTGCGCAGCCGCCATGTGGCAGCTGGTGCGGCGACTAATCGGCCACGTCACCAGCGCTACTGCAGGTTAGGGTTACGACTGTTCCCGCAGATCAGGTATTTCGACGGTGACTGGAAGGTCGGGTGATGTGACTGCTAGTGCAGGTTAGTGCTTGATTACTAGGGTAACATCGTGCTTGTGCCAGCTTCTGCAGGTAGTTCCGGCTTTGACCTACGATGATACTGGCGGTTATGGTCGTTTCCAAGTTCGGACTTCGGATACTGCAGTCACCCTACGTCGAGTTATCGTTCGAGCTGTTCGCGTTCCCAACGGATAGCTAGCTGACGTGTCTTCGTCAGATCCGTGGCCGTTTCTTCTGGTCGCAATGGTGCGTCACTACTTCTCGCCGGAAAATAGCGAAATGCGGGATTCGTTCGAAGGAGTAACTCCGCGGGCAGAAGGAACTCTAAGGCTTCGCGATAGCATTCTTCGGTCGTCACTATTGTCCAGAGAGTAGCGTTGCGAATGAGACGTACCAGGTGATGACCCTTGAGTCAGCTCAAAAGTCACTGGGGTATCGTCGTTCGTCAATATTGTCCAGAGATTAGCGTTGCGAAGGAGAAATACTTGCCGCCGACGTCGTTTCGGCTTCGTTCCGCGTTTTCGTTACGCGTTTCCAGTTGTTTTCACGTGTTTCCCACGACTCCTGCACGACGCCGTCAGGTGGCCCGGGCCTCTGGGCAGCGTCGGTAGCGACGACGAGAAGGGAACGCGTACGTACGTAGGTGGAACGAAAATGAAGTATCGGCCATTTTCCCCAAATATTGTACGCGTAGGTTGGGTTACCTCATTCATCCCGCTCTCGCTTCCATTTTCTTAAAGCTTCCCTTAGCCTCCCCTCGGTTCCGTCAGGTCGTCGGGGCCTCTGGACGGCGTCAAGAGCGGCGGCAAGAGGGGCGTTCCCAGGAGGAACGGTGCCGTCCGTCCAGGCTTGTGAGTCGTCTCAAAGGCCTTCCACGTTGCCTGCCCCTCGGTGTTCTCAGGTCGCCCGGGCCTCTGGACGGCGTCAGCAGCGGCGGCGAGAGGGGAGGCGCAGGGGAGCGGCGGCGCGGCGAAGCGGGTGCGGTGGGAGGAGGAGGAGGTGGCGTGCGGCACGGAGCACACGGTGGTGTATCTGCTGCTGCAGAGCGGCCGCCTCTCCCCCCGCGGGCTTGCCACGCTCGCCTGCCTCTGCCGCTCCTTCAGCCATGTAAGACGCTCTCCAGGGTTTGTGGTCCCTTTTTCCTCTGTTTTGGGAGCTGGGAGTGATGGGAGTTGGGGGGATGTGAGGTAAGGAAGGCGAGGAGGGAAGGGGGAAAAGGGGAGGGATGGAACGGGGAAAGGGGAAATGGGAGGGAGGGAAAAGGGAGGTGAGGAAAAGGGTGGGGGGAACGGGTGGGGGGTTTGAGGTGAAGCGGGTGCGGTGGGAGGAGGAGGAGGTGGCGTGCGGCACGGACCACACGGTGGTGTATCTGCTCCTGCAGAGCGGCCGCCTCTCCCCGCGCGGCCTCGCCACGCGCGCATGCCTCTGCCGCTCCTTCCGCCATGTAAGGCGCTCCTCTTAGGGTTGTCTTCAGTGAGAAGGATGGGGAGGAGGAGAAGAGATGGGGGGGTGGGGGGAAGAAGGGGGGAAGGGGGAATAGCAAGAGATGGGAGAGAGGGGGAGGGGAGAGGGAGGAGGAAGGGAACGTGGGGGAGGGAGAAGGTTAAGGTTACCCTGGCCTGGCATGTCTCTACCATGCCATCTGCCATCTGCCTATGAGGCACTTTCGTGGCGTTGCAAGTCGCTTTTTTTTTTTCCGATTTTCCTAGTTGCGCACTCAAGCATACACACACGCACGCACGCACACACGCACGCACGCACGCACGCACGCATGCATGCATGCCCACATGCACGCACGCACACTCGGTTTCATGCACGCATTGCCACATTCCTTTTTCCTTCTCACACACAAACATGCGTGCGCGCGTGCATGCACACGGTCATGCTCGTGCCTTGTGCTATGGCCTGAACGCTCATGTCTTGTTAACGCTATAGGACTGCTTTATTGGTGACTTCATGCCCTGAGCGTCCGCTTTTCGCTCCTTTTTTTTTTCCCCCTTTCTGTAACATGCGTATTGATGTGCTGTGCTGTGCGTCACTTTTTCTACTTTTCAAAAATGTGTCGCGTGTCTGTTCTGTGTGTTCTTTGCTGTGTGTGTGCGTGTGTTGTGCCACATTGTGTGCTCTCTCTCTCTCTCTCCCCCTGCCAGGCGTGTGAGGACGAGATGCTGTGGCATCTGGTGTGCATCGTGCACTGGCCCAGCCTTAACGCTCCAGACCTTGAAGCCAGAATACGAGCGAGTGGTGGTTACAAGAGGTGAGAGTATGAGGGAGTGGTGGTTACAAGAGGTGAGAGTATGAGGGAGTGGTGATTACAAGAGGTGAGAGTATGAGGGAGTGGTGGTTACAAGAGGTGAGAGTATGAGGGAGTGGTGGTTACAAGAGGTGAGAGTATGAGGGAGTGGTGGTTACAAGAGGTGAGAGTATGAGGGAGTTGTGGTTACAAGAGGTGAGAGTACGTGGGAGGGAGTGGTGGTTACAAGAGGTGAGAGTATGAGGGAGTGGTGGTTACAAGAGGTGAGAGTATGAGGGAGTGGTGGTTACAAGAGGTGAGAGTATGAGGGAGTGGTGGTTACAAGAGGTGAGAGTATGAGGGAGTTGTGGTTACAAGAGGTGAGAGTACGTGGGAGGGAGTGGTGGTTACAAGAGGTGAGAGTATGAGGGAGTGGTGGTTACAAGAGGTGAGAGTATGAGGGAGTGGTGGTTACAAGAGGTGAGAGTATGAGGGAGTTGTGGTTACAAGAGGTGAGAGTACGTGGGAGGGAGTGGTGGTTGGTTACATTACAAGGGCTGAAAAGGCGTTCACGTTTTATTCCCCACCGTACCCCACCCACCTCTCTTTAAATGCCGAATTCATGTGTATAGATAGAGCAAACCTCTCTTTCATTACACCTGTCATAATACCTTCGCATTTTCTCCTCCTGCACCGCATCCGCATGCACTCCTCTCCACCCCACCAAACCTCTCCAACCCACCAAACCTCCCAGGTTCTGCCGTTTGCTCCACACGCCCTGTGGGGAGGTCCAGTCCACCATTCCAGCAGGCCACGTGGACGAGTTCGTGTCTGACGTCATCTTCCTTGTTGACGTGTCGTACCGTGGTTCGCCCATCTTCGCGCGTCGCATCAGCGGGGCGAGCGACCTGGAGCACCTGCAGCAGCCCGACTCGTTCGCCTTCAGGCTGCCAGACATCAATGTGAGTAGCATGGGCTGACTCAGTTGGAATGCAAGTCTGCTTTTGGTTGGGACTCGCATTTGTTCTTCTCGCGTCGCATCAGTGTGCCGAGCGACCTGGAGCATCTGCAGCAGCCGGAATCGTTCGTGGTCCGGCTGCCAGACATGGATGGGAGTGGAACTTCAGAGCAGGTTGTCAGGGCTATGGAGCAGTTGAGTTGAGCCATGTGATCGATCTTCCCTTGGGTGGGGTACATCAGTGTGCGCAACCCAACTACCTGAAGCACCTGCAGCAGCCGGAATCATTCGCCTTCAGGCTGCCAAACGTGGATGTGGGTGAAATAGCACAGCTGGTTTTGGGGATACGGAGCAGTTGAGTTGAGCGAATTGGGTTGATTGATTTCCTTTTCTCGCATCAACCGTGCGAACGGCCGACCTGGAGCATGTGCTCTGCACTGCAGCAGTCAGAGTCGTGCGTCTTCAGGCTGCCAGACGTGGATGCGATGTGAGTAGGCCTGATTTAGTTTAGACTCCAGCCCTTGGGTCCCATCCCATGAGCGGGCCAGTGACCCGGAGCACCTGCAGCAGCCCGAGGCATTCGTATTCAGGCTGCCAGGCGTGGATGTGATGTGAGTTGGCTGAGCTGCCATGCCAGGCCTGCTCTCTTCCCCCCTTCCAAACACACCATGCAGGTGGGCGCAGTGCTGGTGGACGGCAAGCCAGGGCCGAGCAGACTCGTGAGTGGTCTTAAGGGGCCCTTTCCTATTCTCTTTTCCCCACATCCAATCCAAACGACTTTTGATTCACAGGTGGGCGCAGTGCTGGTGGACGGCAAGCCTGGGCTGAGCAGGCGGGCGTTGGAGCGCGCAGCGAGGGAGCTGCAGGTGTCGTGTCTGGCGCTCAGGGGGCGCGACGACTGCTTTGCTGTGCTGCTCAACGCTGCCACCTCACAGAACAGCATCATTGGCGGGTAGGGTTCATGCTTCCCTCCCCTCCAAGTGACTTTTGAGTTGAGTGACTCAAAAGTCAGATGCAGGTGTTGTGTGTGGTGCTGAAGGGTCCATTGGCGGGTGGTGACCGCTTTGCTGTGCTGCTCAGCGCTGCCACCTCACAGAACAGCATCATTGGCGGGTAGGGTACTTGCTTTCTTCCTCCTGCCCCGCTCTTGTTTTGAGTCGTGCCTTTACTCTGCCTTGCTGTGCTTTGCTGTGCTGCTCCACGCTGCCACCGCACAGAGCAGCATCATTGGCGGGTAGGGTACTGCCTCCTTCCCCTCCAAGTGACTTTTGAGTTCGGGCAGCCAGGGAGCTGCAGGTGTCGTGTGTGGCGCTTCAGGGTCGCAACGACAGCTTTTCTGTGCTGCCCATTGCCCAACGCTGCCACCGCACAGAGCAGCATCATTGGCGGGTAGGGTGCTGCCTCGTTCCCCTTCGGGTGCCTTCAATTTACTCAATAAGAAGCTGCAGATGTCGTGTTTGGCGCTTCAGGGTCGCAACGACAGCTTTTCTGTGCTTTGCTGTGCTGCTCAGCGCTGGCACTGCACAGCACAGCACAGCACCATTGGCGGGTAGGGTGCTTGCTTCCCCACTCTTGCTTATCACCGTTTCTCGGGCATGCATGCCACCTCTCAGCTTGCAAAAATCGCTTTGCTATGCTGCTGAATGCGACCACCGCACAGCACAGCACCATTGGCGGGTAGAGTACTGCTTGCTTCCGCCCCTCCCTTGCTCTGATTGAAGTGATCACGGGTGCGGCGGATTCGACTTGAGTGTGGAAATGCCGGGAGGCGACATTTTGAAGGGCGGTCACCACAGGAGGGGCATGTCCGCAGTCGAAGAAGCCAGAGTTGGGCCTGCGGAGAATGAACCGGCGATCCTGACTCCATCCACGTGAACCGGGAGGATTTCCGTGTTTGCCCTCAATACAGCTTCCGCGCGCAGGTGGTAACACCTTCCTACTCTGCTCTATCCTAAAAATGGCGAAGCGCACGCCGATCAGGACGAAGAAGGGTGACTCGGAGAATCTTCCGTGGGATCCCAGCAGATTTCAGCGCCCAGTCGTTCACCGCGGGGTAGTCGTCTCTGGATGAGAATGAGTCGAGGGGGGCCCACCACTCCTTTGGGATAGCCTTGAACGCCCGTTTGATGATTCCTACCACACCGAGTACTGCTTGGGGGGGGCATCCTGCTTCACTGCTTTACTGATTCTCGTAACTGCCGCACTGAGCGAGGTGATAAGTGGCTGGGCGACCTGCTTCACTTCCACAAGTTGTACGACTCGTATGAGGAATCGCTTTTGCCGCAGATGCTTGACGTTCCTATCGTCCCTGACGCGAACCGCTCTTCGATTTAATCCCGGCGGTGATCTGGCTTCCGGATGTCCATGAGCCTCTGTTGATCAACATCTCCACCCATTCGTGCGCCATCTGTCTCAGTAACCACCGCACCCGTGATCAGAGCTGCTCAGAAAATGAAAAGGGGCTCACAAGGAATACTTAGGACCTGAGAACACGAAGCTAGCTGCTTGAAGGTTATAGCTGAGAACAAAGTAGTGGGCCAGCAGCAACCACGGATAGGTAAAAGCAGCAGATCTTAGCAAATGAAGTGACTCCGGATTCAACAAGGGCGCGGGAAACCATGGAAAAAGGGACCGTTGACGTGCTGGAGTTGTCCGACCGTGATAGTGAAAGGATTGGCGAGATTGTTCTTCCTGACAGCTGTGAAGCAGCCGTGAATACGGGTGCAGTGGCTATTGGGACAGTCGGCGCACGATTGGGTGGAGATGTTGATCAGCAGAGGCCCCTGGACATCCGGAAGCCAGATCACCGCCGGGATTGCTTCGAAGAGCGGATCAGCGTCAGGGGCGACAGGAATGCTAAGCTTGTGGAAGTGAAGCGGGTCGCCCAGCCACTTGTTGTTTTCTGTTCGTCATCTCTGCTTCTCATCTCTTCTCATCTCCAACTACTCTTCTCCCCTTCTCTTTTCCCCCTCTCATCCCCCCCTCCATTTCCCCCTTCCAATGCCACACCCTCCCCCTTCCGTAAGCTCAAGCCCCCTCTCTCGTTTCCAGCACCTTCCAGTTCTCCCCTTCCTAATACCCCCCACCTATCCCCCCGTCGCATCCCCCTCTCCCATGTCTTCCTCTGCAGCACTGTGTACACCACCTTCCATTCCAGCGCCACTTCGCCCTGCCAGGCGCCCTCGTGCACACCAACCATCCCTCCCGCTTATCTTTTCCAATCCAAATTCCCCTTCCCATCCTTCTCTCTGCAGCACTGTGTACGCCACCTTCCAGCGTCACTACGTCCTGCCATGAGCCCTCACTCGCGCACACCAATGTGGCAGTCGACTGTTTTGTCACCGTCACCTCTCGCCCTCACTGTCTCGCTGTCTTCCTCTCATGACTCCTCCAATTTTCCCCACCTAATTTCCCTGTCCAATCTCTCCGTTCCGCTCCCTCTCACCAGGACGGTTTTCGCCACGTTTCAGCGCCACTTCGCTTCGCCCTGCCAGGAGCCCTCGCGCACACAACGAGGCAGTCGACTGCATCGCCACTCTCACCTCCCTGCCCCACTGATTTCCTATCTCTCTCGAATGTCTCTTGTCCCTCTCAGGACGGCATATGCCACGTCTCAACGCCACTACGCCCTGCCAGGCACCCTCACTCACACCAACCAACCACACTCCCTTGCTAATCCCCTTGTCCATTCTCTCCCGCATCCCTCCCCCTCTTTGCAGCACGGTATACGCCACCTTTCAGGGTCACGTCGCCCTTCCAGGCACCCTCACCCACACAAACGTTGCAGTCATTTGCATCGTCACTGTCACCTCCCTGCCCCACTGACCCTCTATCTCCCTTTGACTCTGTCTCTCCATGTCTCATGTCATGTCCCTCTCAGGACGGTATATGCTACTTTCCAACGCCACTTTGCCTTGCCAGGCACCCTCACGCACACCAACTTGGCAGTCGACTGCATCGTCACCGTCACCTCCCGCGCTCGCTACGTCGACCCCGCCGCCCAACCGGATGGCGCCGCCGCCCATCCAAATGGTGCCGCCACCCAAGCAGGGGCGGCAGGAGCAGCAGGGGCGGCAGCAGGGGAAGCAGCAGGGGCTGGAGCAGGGGCAGCAGCAGGAGAAGCAGCAGGGGCAGCAGCAGCAGCAGCGGCGGCGGCAGCAGCGGCGGCGGCGGCGGCACCGGCACCACCAGGTGCTGCTGCGGGTCTTGCTGCGGCTGCTGTTGCTGCACAGAGAGAGCAGAGAGCAGCACTGGCAGCTGCTATGCTAGCAGCAACGGCCGAAGAAGCAGCAGCAGCAGCAGCAGCAGCACAGGGAACAGCTGTTGCAGCACAAGAAGCAGGTGCTGCAGTGGCACCAGCTGTAGGCGAGGCGGCTGTGGAAACAGCAGCAGTGGCAGACGGCACAGCAGTAGCAGCAGTGCCTGCAGATGCTGGCTTGCAACAAGAAGCAGGGACAGGAGAGGCGCCAGGGGCAGTGGGAGCAGCAGGGGAGGTTGTGGAGGTAGGTGCTGGGCCTATGGAGCTGGGGCAGGGAGTGGTAGAGAGAGAAATCGGATTTGAACAAACCCAACCAGCTGTACCTAATGCTGCTGGTACAGGTGCTGCCGATGCTGCCGCTGCTGCGGGTGCTTACGGTGCTCCGGGTGCTTACGGTGCTCCGGGTGCTAACGGTGCTCCAGGTGCTTACGGTGCTGCGGGTCCTGCGGCTGCTGCTGGTATTGCTGCTGCTGCTGCGGATGCTGCAGCAGGAAGATTCCTCCCTGTGGGTCCCACGCAGGAGCAATGGGGCCCACAAGGCCATGCAGAGGTGGTGGAGGAGACGAGGCGCATGGTTCTGGCGTACCGAGCCGTGACCCCCGGCCAAGCCGCTGCGCCAGGTGCGGGTGAGCTGCGTGCCGGGCCTGATTTTGCGGGTGCCGCCATTGCTGGTGCTGCTGGCACTGCTGCTGGCACTGCCGCTGCTGCTGGTGGTGGTGCTGGTGCTGTGGCTCCAGAAGGAGCCGCAGGAGGGGGTGTGGTGGAGCAGTGGCAGTGGCAGAGGCAGGCAATTGGTGTTGCAGGGATAAGGGATGGGCAGATTAATGGGTTCCGGGAAGGGGGGGGCGGTGTAGGGCAGATGAATGTGTTCCAGGCAGGGGGGGGCGGTGTAGTGGCAGGAGCAGGAGCAGCTGCTGGTGGTGTTGCTGATGCTGGTGGTGCTGCTGGTGCTGCTGGTGCTGCTGGTGCTGCTGGTGCTGCTGGTGCTGCTGGTGGTGCTGCTGCTGGTGGTGCTGCTGGTGGCGCTGGTGATGGTCCTGCCGCTGCTGTTGCTACTGCGGCTGCAGCAACAGCGGCAGCAATAGCAGGTGCAGGCACAGCAGCAGGAGCAGCACTGGCAGCAGCAGCAGCAGCAGGAGCAGCACTGGCAGCAGCAGCAGCAGCAGCAGGGCCAGGGCATGTGCATGGGCATGCACACGGGCATGTCCATGCACATGCGCATGGACAGGCGCATGGGCATGGGCATGGGCACGGGCACGGGCACACACATGCGCATGTGCATGTGCATGGGGATACGGTGTTGGATGTGGTATTGGGGCAGCTGGGGTTTCAGATCAAGGTGGAGTGCGGGCAGGGGGAGGCGAGGCAGACCAAGCCGAGTGTGGGCGACTGGCACGACCTCAAGTGGAAGTGAGGGGTGCAGCAGAGTATGGGCAGTGGGCAGAGGGGGGCAGCAGGCTGTTTTTAAGGCGCCTAAAGAAACGGGCAGACGAAGCCGAGTGTGGGCGACTGGCACGACCTTGAGTGGAAGTGAGGGGTGCAGCAGAGCATGGACTGCAGGCACAGAGAAGCAGCAGACTGGTTTTCAGGCACCAAATATATGGGCAGGTGAAGCCAAGTCTGGGCGACTGACACAATTTTGTTTGGAAGTGAAGGGAGCACAAAAGAGTGGGCACTGGGCAACAGGTACCGGGAAGCAATGACGATGCAGGCGTGGTGAGGCACAACAGAGATACTGCAGCAGTCAGGAGTGACGTGTGAAGTGAAAAGCGGGCAGGCATACTGTGTGGAGAGGCTACACATTATATAAAACTATTGCAGGGTTTGGTTGAGAGAGTGCCCTAGTCTCAGGTTTGGGTTGGGCAGATACTTTTTAGGAGAGCTGTGCATGGTAGGATGCTGCTCTCAAGCCCTGCAACAGGCATGACAGGCCTTCAGTCATCGGCCTGGTGTTTTGCTGGTGCTTATACACATTAAATACCTAAGTAGGAATGAAAATGTATTTGTGCGTGGTTGGGTGTAAAAACTTGACCTTGCTGCAGCCCAATTGAAGGGCTGCAATCATGTAACTCCTGTACATCATGCATGATGTTTCTATTGTTTTGTAGCCTGCTGCTTGCCCCACCTGCAACAATCATCCTCGGGTTTTGCGTGGATGATATTTCTCCTATCCTTGAGTTCAGCAACACTCTCTTCATGGACGAAATTCTCTAGATGGATTTACATTCAGGATATTACATTCAGGCAAAAATAGAATACCTAAATACGGTACTACTAAATGTGCTTAGTTGTATCTGAATACTATCTGTAAGTAAGTGGAGTTTTTCTCATGTCCACAATGATGCGCACTACTAGTAGCCCACTCGAGCGCAGAACTTTCATTCTAGCTATACGGTACTCTGCACTGCTGGTCTTTCTCTAATCGCACTTGGAGCGGCACTTCTTGGCTTTTCTCTTGCACTTTTTGTACGTGTGCGTGCACTTGTGGTGCTTGTGCTCGTCGTCCTTGTTCTCGCGCTTGCACTCGCTGTACTCCTCGTTGCACTCCTTGTTCTTCGCCTCGCAGTCCGACTTGCACGACAGCTCGCGGCGCGTCTCAGGCGACCACAGGAACCGCCTGCTCACGCCGCCCAACAGCTTGCCCATGAGACCTGGAAGCAGGAAGAAATGGAAACAAAATTAACAAAATAACGCTATGCGTATGAGGGGATAGCATGAAATTCCTGTTTGTAGCGAAAAGCAATCTCACGAGAGCTGGTAACGCGGAGGCAAGCAACGGATATATTCAATCGGGTTAGCGCAGCGCAATACAGAGCGGGGGCGCATGTCGTTACTGAGCGCGACACAGTATAACCAAACGCACCCGGAAGCGACCCGTCGGCGGAAATGGCGGCGTCCGGAGCGTCGTCTTCGTCGGCGTCTTCTGGTTCGATCGTAAAGATCTCATTCGCGCGGCACGTCGGCGCCAGAGCGAGCGACACAACCAGGGAGAGGCCGAGCAGCGCGAAGAAAAGCTTGGAGCGTGTCATGGTCCCTGCGCCGGTGAAATTTCAACCGCGCCGATTGCTGGATTCACAAGGGCGGTTGGAGTGGCTGTCGCCGACTAAGAGAATTTACAAGGGTGGTGGTGCCTCGGACAGGAAGAGAGGGTGAGTGAGAGAACTGCGTATCGCCTCTGAGAGTAGCCTGGGTAGAGCTTCAAACCTTCTGTTTGGGGTAGACGGGAACTGGTACCGACTAACATTCAGGTCCTGGCTTTTATACGACCATCGCAGCCTCTGAGTTGCACGAGCGTACATCGTGATAAGGAAGGTCTAACGGATGGTCGGTGATAAAGTAGGTATAGGTAAGCGACTGGTCGGTGATAAGTAAGCCTGGTGTGAGATATCTTTGGTCGGCGTTAGGAGCAGGGACCATGTGCAAGGATGTGCGTGTGCAGCGAAAGGCGGATGTGCGTGTGCAGCGAAAGACGCAGTGTGGATGGTAGCTTGCTTGGAGCATTCGGGTACGTGGGATGGGAGCAGCGCAAGCAAGCAGTGAATGTGTATGTGCTGCAGGGTTTACATGCAATTGTCGTGCAATTGTCGTGAGGAGGGTGTGCTTACATTGAAAGAAAACGCTTTCTGTAGCGACGCGGACTCGATGCGCAGATTTTTTCTTGGCAAAAAAAAAAGGGCATTTATCTTAGCGGTAACACTCATGGAGGTCGATTGTGTTATGAATGAACTTGCAGAGTGCGCAGAATATCGAATAGCAAAAGCTGAGCCGTATCAGAGTGGTGGATGGCAAAAGCTGGAAGTGGTCTAACAGTTTCGCGGCAGTTTGGGCAAACCACGCAGGCCCCGGATCCATGTCTGAGGATCTAATTCTCTGAGGCGGGACTTCTCGTCTCTCATGCACATTTACGACTGTTTATGCATTGTACACTTCTGTTATGGTGTATAATTCATATAAGCAAAAAAAAAGAATATCGAATAACGAGAATGAGAATTACAGAATGAAGAAACAATGAAGTAGCGAGGCCTAAATAGGGGAAAACCTAGCTAGGCAGGGAGGTCGGGAAAGGATGGCTTGGTGATGGTTGCGATTGGAGCGGAGGCCGACACGGGAGTGGTTCGGCCGACGAAATAGGCCGAACAGGTTCGTCGCGTGACCCTCGGGATGGCCTCGCTAACGAGTGCCTCAGTAAGGATTTGTAAATCCTTACACTCTCCCACCTTCTAAACAAGGCAGCCCTGTACTAAGAACAGACCCTACACTAGCGAGGATGCCGTAGATCTCCCTTCAGCTGAATCCGACGGCTGAAATGCCTTTGACAATATTTTTGAAAAAAATGAAATGTAGGCCGTCGATGAAGTCCGATTTTGATCTGACGGTCGACGATGATCTGGCCCAAAATGAAGAGAAGGTTGGAATGTGGGCCGTCGATCGAGCAGATGTAAATCTGACGGTCGAAGCTGACGCGAAAAGAGAGGGAACCTGCTGACGCGAATTCAAACGTGATTGAGCAGGGACCGTAGATCGTGTCGGTGTGATCGCGATCGTCCGTCGTGCTGACGCAACTTGACAAAGTCCGTAAGGACCAAGAAAAACGCCAAGGAAAGAACAGTGCAGCGCACTTTCTCCCCCCCTCCAAAAAAACAATCCAGAAAATTTCCCGCAGCTGCGCCGAGATGAAAACCAACAAAACCGGGTGTTAAGTCCCACGAAGAAGAGCGTCGAAAGTAGAAGTCCAGGTGAAATTGCGTCGAAATAATCAAAGTGTGAAAGTAGTAGGTAGAGTTAGGTGGGCTTGGGAGCCATAGCTTAGGAGCCTTGGTAGTTAAGTTCGAGGGTGAGGAGAGTGTCGAGAAAATTGTAAAGGAGAAAATGAGGGTTTCACTATAGGTTCAAGGGTACAAATATGAAAGAAGAGAAGCAAGGTGCACCACCTAACAAGCAAGATAACTGCACTAAGTCTACATTGCAGGCAGTTATAAAGTGATGTATACAATAATATTCTGACACACCCCCTAACTGCCTGCAGTGAAGAACCATGTGCAGAAACACCCCCGGAAGGGGTACACCAAGCAGAGCGCAGCAGACAGAGAGGGCAAATGAGGAGGAGAGACTGTGGAGGAAGAGAAGATGCGAGGCAACGACTGAAGCTGCAGAGGCACGGGCACAGGAGCGGCTGACTCAGTGGCTACCGAAGCAAGGGCGACGGACTACTGGAGTGACTGGCTCCGCGGCTATAGACGAGCGGCAGGAGCAACGGACCCACTGGCGACTGGTGCAACAGGCTCACTGGCTACCGAAGCAAGGGCGACGGACTACAGGCGCTGCAGGCGACACGACAGCTACCTTCACACAACCTCCCCCAGCTGCCCCACTCCCCTCTCACACACTCCCTGTTCAAACCCTAGCTCCACTCCCACAGCACCCTCCTTAAACCCTAAACCCTAGGCTCCCACACACCCACCCCCCTCAGCGACAGCTGCAGCAGTGGGAGACGAGGGAGGAGGAGGAGCAAGGGGAGGAACACATAACCGCCACCCCCACACCCGCCACCCCCATGCTCGGCACCCCACACCCCCAGCACCACGGAATGCACGGGGGGGGGAACGGGACGGGCTGCAGGTGCGGGCTGCTCCAGGGGCGGCCGCTGCAGGTGCGGGCTGCTCCAGGGGCGGCTGCTGCAGGTGCAGGCTGCTCCAGGGGCGGCTGCTGCAGGTGAGGGCTGCTCCAGGGGAGGCTGCTGCAGGTGCGGGCTGCTCCAGGGGCGGCTGCTGCAGTTGCGGGCTGCTCCAGGGGCGGCTGCTGCAGGGGCGGCCGCTTCAGGGGCGGCTGCTGCAGGGGTAGCGGCTGCTGGGGCGGCTGCTGCAGTGGCGGCTGCTCCAGGGGCGGCGGCTCCAGGGGCGGCTGCTGCAGCGGCGGCTGCTCCAGGGGCGGCTGCTGCTGGGGCGGCTGCTCCAGGGGCTGCTGCTGCAGTGGCGGCTCCAGGGGCGGCTGCTGCAGTGACGGCTGCTCCAGGGGCGGCTGCTGCAGCGGCGGCTGCTCCAGGGGCGGCTGCTGCTGGGGCTGCTGCTGCAGTGGCGGCTCCAGGGGCGGCTGCTGCAGTGACGGCTGCTCCAGGGGCGGCGGCTCCAGGGGCGGCTGCTGCAGCGGCGGCTGCTCCAGGGGCGGCTGCTGCTGGGGCGGCTGCTCCAGGGGCTGCTGCTGCAGTGGCGGCTCCAGGGGCGGCTGCTGCAGTGACGGCTGCTCCAGGGGCGGCTGCTGCAGCGGCGGCTGCTCCAGGGGCGGCTGCTGCAGCGGCGGCTGCTCCAGGGGCGGCTGCTGCTGGGGCTGCTGCTGCAGTGGCGGCTCCAGGGGCGGCTGCTGCAGTGACGGCTGCTTCAGGGGCGGCGGCTCCAGGGGCGGCTGCTGCAGCGGCGG